TCCCTTTGCAACAACAGCATCCTTTATTTCATTTTTCTTGGCCACTTTGGAACATAAGGTTGTGTAGGGTTTCTTATACATCCTGGACAGTTCGGCCACACTTGTACCACTTTCGTATTGTTCAATGATGGTTTTCTTAAATTCAGTCGTATTTCTCACCTTCTTTACCACAGGCTTGGCACTAGGAGCTTTCTTTGGAGCCATGGTAGCTTATTTAGTACTTGCAAGCACTAAAATAAATGGAATATTATGAAATATTTTGCTGGAGCATGTGAGGGGACCTTCGCTCACTTGTAAACAATGCCAGACTGGCTGCCGCCCTGGCTCACGCCATGGGTACGCGTCCCGGACGAACTACGACTCGCGAGTCAACCTATGAAAAGCGAGTCCATGTATATACGAAAATACCCCTATGATTGGCGAATTTTACGATTGCCGGGAACTCCAAAAAGCGGGGGACCACTGTAAAAGGAACGCGGCAATACAAAGAAAGTGGAGAAAGGGAAAATGGACAGCAATATTTTTTTTTTTTTTTTTTTTTTTTTTTTGGTGCAAGAGGTCAGTCATAAGGTTGCTACTGCAGGTGGTAGTTGCAGGTAGTTTGATGGAGGTTGGTTGCATTCCTGGAGTTGGTTGGCTAAGCACTCCCTGGGGTGGTGTCCTGCTGTAGGATGATTGTAGATGCTACAAGGTTAGTTGCAAGGTGTTGATTGACAGAAGTGGGTTACCCAAGATTGGGGGAACATTAACCCATGTTACTGGGTGTAGAATTTATCAGTTCGCATGGCATGCATTCTTCTACTTCTTCAGGGAGGTCGCTGAGGATTCTTGGTCGAGGGAAGTTCTCCTTGTGGATGAAGCGTCGGACTCTTTGTTGGAGGGTCATTCTTTGGGATCTGTAGAGGGGGGGGATGCTGATGGTGTAGTCGGCCGTGTTCATTGGGTGGGGTGAGTTCTCTCTGTCAGGGACATATAGTTGTCTCTTCTTCAGTTTGTCAAGCCTGACATTAATTGCAGTGATTCTCTGTTGCATGTGCAGGTCTTCAGTCCTGATTCTGTCTCTGAATCTGGTGCCAGTGATGAAGCAGAAGGCTTTGTTTTGGACTCTTTGGAGTTTTAACATGTTGATTTTAGTTGTTAGTGACATGGGTATGCAAGGTATTCTAGCAGAGGTCTGATCATCATCTTGTACAGGAGTTTCTTGATGTGGGAGGGGGCTGCGTAGAATTGGAAAAGTTGACCGAGGTGGGCTTTAAGCAACCGATGGTGCTGATGACGACTTTATCTGGGTTGGTTGTGATCCTCCATTTTTTCTCCCACGTGGCTGTTCTCCACAGTTCTTCATTCATTTTCTCTATTGCTCTTCTATGTTTGTTTGCACCAGAGATGGGGGTAGAAGAGACTACATGGATGACAACGTCATCCATGGGTGATGATGGTATCATTGTGTTCAGGTTGAGGGAGGTCATTAACATATATGTTGAGTATAGGGCTGAGGCAAGAGCCTTGTGGTACGCCAGCTGTCGGCATGAAGGGTGTTGCAAAAAAAAAAAAAAAGCAATTGCTAACAGTATGCATCCTTGCAATTCAGTGGCACATCAGTATACAGCTGATATAGCAGTGTGCAATTGATGGGCAGGAGGTATACCTATCTCATGAATTCAACTTTTTCACGAATTACACAACATACACACATGCGTATTTAAATTGCACCAAAGTGGATAGGCCATTTACCTTTAAAACCCCACCTACCCCACCACCTTCCCAAACCTTTCCAACATTCCATCCTTACCCATCCTTCTTCCTCCCCCATCTTGCCAAAGCTCTGGTCAGAACTTCACCTCACAGCAATCCTTTTTAGACATAAAGAGAAACGATCTAACCAAAGAAAGAGACAACAAGGGGGAATGGTACAGAGAGGGCAGATGGGCAGCAAAATGAGACATATCAAACCAGGCATCAGTTCAATGGGGCCAAATAAACAACCAAATGCAAAGTCAGTATTGGAGAAACCAGGGGTATGTACACCAGGGGTCATACCAGTTAGTACATCACCAGTGGTATTAACGAAGCACAAAGCAAGATAAAATGTTCTGAATGGTAATTCCTGCTTTGTATTTGCAGATATTCAGGGTTTGAAATTAAATAAAAATGACAAAGTTAGTTATGTCAGTGGGCTCCTATCAGAAGTGAATGCCATGTTTGGAGCATATACAGAAACACACACAAGGGATGTTTTGGACTTAGAGATAAAGATAGAAAACTATAACATGTCTAGATGTGATAGAATTAATAGGTCACAGGGAGGAGTAGGAATCTATGTAAAAGATACTTTCTGTTGCACAGAAGTGCTGAACTCTATGACTGATATAGTAGAAATCCTAGGTATTAAAGTTGAAAACAGGAATTTGGTAATTATCCTAGTACAGTGGACCCCCGGTTAACGATATTTTTTCACTCCAGAAGTATGTTCAGGTGCCAGTACTGACCGAATTTGTTCCCATAAGAAATATTGTGAAGTAGATTAGTCCATTTCAGACCCCCAAACATACACGTACAAACGCACTTACATAAATACACTTACATAATTGGTCACATTCGGAGGTAATCGTTATGCGGGGGTCCACTGTACTATATAAACCACCATTAGCAACTGCTGAGGAATTCACAGATCAGCTAAGGAAGATAGATAGCTATCTGGATAGGCTAGAAAATCCCACACCAAATATTTTACTCCTTGGAGATTTTGATCTCCCTCTTGTAAAATGGAAGATGGCGCAACCTAATGTTATACCAGAAATATCTCCGGGAAGCACCCCGGCTCATCAGGCACATACCAGGGAGCTAATGAGGCTCTGTGAAAAGCACTCATTAAACCAACAGATAACTGATCCCACTAGAAATGATATTCACAAACATTGAGGAACTAACCAGAGACATTACAATTACAAAGATCACAACATCACAGAAATTCAAACGCGTATAAACTCAGGGTTAGGGAACTGCATCACTAATGTTAGAGACGGGATGTTCAGTAAGTTTAATTCTAACAACCATAGAATTGACTGGGAAAAAATACACCAAGAGCTTTCAAACATGACCTGGGAAGCAGACATGAACATCCTAAATCATCCCCCTCCACTGCCTAGGAAAGCTGAATAGAGAAGCATACAAGGTATGTATGAAGCACGTACCATTGAGGAAACCCAGAAGATCAGATACAGAGAGAGAGTGTAGGAGATGGTACAGAAGAAGAAAATGGGTTACTGAATTGCTTAAAAACATAAATATGCTTCAGCAGAGGAAAGATCGGCTTGGACAAGAGATCATTGAACTATAGCAAAAACTTAGGATGTCATACCTGACAGAAGAAGTACAAAGGGAACAGAGGGCCATGCAGGATATTGCAATAAAACCAAAATATTTCTATTCCTATGCAAAATCCAAGCTAAGAACTACCTGTAGAATTGGACCACTACTGAGAGGAGACTCGTATACTGATGATGAACAGGAAATGAGTGAAATCCTTAAAGAACGGTATGAGTCGGTGTTCAGCAACCCACTAAATGACAGCAAGGTAGAAAATGCAGAAATATTTTCCACTCTAGAGGAAGGCCGCACAGACCAACTAACTGACATTAGATTTTGAAAAAGAAATAGACAGCATACCCACTCACTCAACACCTGGATCAGATTCATGGAATGCTCTATTTATAAAGAAGTGTAAAGTACCATTAGCACGAGCGCTCAGCATGCTTTGGAGAAAGAGCTTAGATCCAGGTGAAATACTGGAGGCCTTAAAGAGTGCAGACATAGCTCCTTTGCATAAGAGAGGTAGTAGAGCACTAGCTAAAAATTAGACCAGTAGCCCTAACTTCTCACGTCGTAAAAATCTTCGAAAGAGTGATGAGATGGCAGATTACAAATTTCATGGACCAGCATAACCCGAACCATCATGGTTTTCGAGCAGGATGATTGTACCTGTCACAGCTGCTGAACCAGTATGACAGAATTACTGAGGCATTGGAAGACACCCAAAACGCAGATGTGATTTATAGATTTTGCAAAGTCCATGGGCATTACGGGGAAGGTAGGCAGATGGATTTTCAGGTTCCTAACACACAGAACACAAAAAGTAGTGGTGAACAGGACAAGATCCAGCATCAGTGAGGTCAAAAGCTCAGTTCCCCAAGGCACTGTCCTGGCACCTCTGTTGTTTCTCATCCTCATAGCAGATATAGATAAAAATACCCAGCACACTTTTGTATCATCATTTGCAGATGACACTAAAATAAGCATGAAAGTCAAAATGGTAGAGGACACTGAAAAAGTACAGGAAGACATAAGCAGAGTTTTCCAGTGGGCAATGGAGAGCATGATGTTCAGTGGCGATAAGTTCCAGCTGCTTAGGTATGGAAAGAATGAAGAATTCAAAAGGAACACTGTATACAAAACTCAAGAGGGTCACCAAATAGAACATAAGGAACACGTAAAAGACCTGGGAATAATTATGTCAGCTGACCTTTCTTTTAAAGACCATAACAAGACAAGGATCACAACAGCCAGGAAGATGACAGGGTGGGTACTGAGAACTTTCAAAACAAGGGAAATCATGCCAATGGTGACTCTTCAAATCACTAGTTCTCCCTCACTTAGCTCGCTTAGAATATTGCTCAGTGCTGATGGCCCCATTCAAAGCAGGAGAAATATCGGAGCTGGAACAAATACAGAGATAGTTTACTGCTCACATTGAGCCAGTAAAGCACCTAAACTAATGGGAACGCCTTCAAGTCTTGAACATGTACTCATTGGAGCGGAGGAGAGAGAGATACTTAATGATATATACATGGAAAGTTCTCGAGGGCCTGGTCCCAAATCTGCACACTGCCATAACATACTGAATTAAGAGATATGGGAGAAAGTGCAACATAAACCCAGTGAGGAGCAGGAGTGCAGTGGGGGCAATAAGGGAACACTGTATCAACATCCAGGGTTCTAAACTATTCAACATCCTACAAGAAGATATCAGAAACACGGCTGGGACAAGTGTAGAAGCCTTCAAGAGGAAACTGGACAAGTATTATCACCAGTTGTCAGATCAGCCAGGCTGTGATGGATATGTGAGGCAGCAGGTCTCCAGCAGCAACAGCCTGGTTGACCAGGCAAGCACCAGACGAGCCTGGCCCATGGCCAGGCTCAGAGAGTAGAGAAGCCTTCGAAATTCTTCAAAGGTAAAGGTATACCCAGCACATACACACATCATCCAGCACATCATACACATCATCCAGCACATCATACACATCACTCATATACATCATCTAGAACATAATACACTTTATCCAGCACATACACAATATCCAGCATGTCATACACATCCAGCCCATCATACACATCACCCAGTCATGCACATCACCCAACACATCATACACATCACCTGTCACATCATACATTTCACCCTGTGCATTATACTTATCATCCAGCACATCATGCACTTCATCCAGCACATCATATGTATCACCCAGCACATCATACACTTTACCCTCTGCATTATACACATCACCCATCACATCATACTCTTCACCCTCTGCATTATATACATCATACACATTACCCAGCACATCATACACTTCACCCTCTGCATTATAAACATCATACACAATGTACACAATATTTCCAGAAGTATAATGTGTTCATTGTTCATTTCAGAGCACACTGATGTTATACCAGCATCCTGAGAGAACGTTTTACAGAACAAGTTATAATGAACGTTCCACTAGTGGCAAAACTAAACATTCACCATAACTGAATGAACATTCGTCATAAACTGAACATTCACCATAATGTCCACTGACAACAACTGATTTGCAAGTAAGTTAGAATTTATTTTATTTTTTTATGTATGGTTTTATACATGATTTTATGTCTGATCTTATGTATGGTTTTATGCATAACCAACAGCCTTGTCATTCCCATTCCAAAGCCCAATCAAGAAAATGCATTTTTCCCAATATGTCTTACTAGCTTCTTGTGTAAAACATTCGAGAGGATTATTCTTAATTGTCTCATGCACAGAATCAAACAATTATTGTCTCCCCAGTTGCATGGTTTCATGCATGGAAGGAGTATGCACCATTGCGTAACCACCTTTCTCACCCTGCACACTGACAGCTCATACACTACCTTCCTTGACCTTAAATTTGCTTTAGATGTAGCCAACTGACATGTAATCATTAGTGAACTTGCCAGAATGGATGTTGGAGAATGACTTCTCTGCTGGATTATAGGCCAAATGTCCAATAAAAAGTCGTCTGTGATGTTCAAGGGACATAGAAGTATAACTAAGGATTTTGAATTAGGAACCCCACAAGGAGGTGTGCTCAGCCCCACTCTATTCAATATTCTAATTAATGCATTACTTAATGCTAGGCCTAGCCAGCCTTATCATTTTATGATTAGTTTTGCTGATGATATAATAGTTCACACAACCGAATTCTCCAATACCCAAAATATCCTTAACCATATACTAGCCTTGTGTCAGGATCTGGGGTTGATAATCTCTACTGATAAAACAAACATACTCAACAGGCGTCAGGCTCGACAGAGAGGCACACTTCGCCATATCCAGTTGCATGATGGGTCTCTTCTGGAATATGTAACCAGGTACAGGTATCTAGGCTTTGAGGTCCCACTACTTGGACCTGTTGTAACGAGGCTTTGTCACCAATGCAAAGAAAGGCTGAGAGCTCTTAGAGTTTACCTGGAGAGGTTTTCGGGGGTCAATGCCCCCATGGCTCAGTCTGAGACCAGGCCTCGTGGTGGATCAACCAGGCTGTTACTGCTGGCCGCACACAAACTGACGTATGAACTACAGTCCGGTTGGTCAGGTACTGACTTTAGATGCCTGTCCAGTGCCTTCTTGAAGACAGCCAGGTGTCTATTGGTAATCCCCCTAATGTATGCTAGGAGGCAGTTGAACAGTCCTGGGCCCTGGACATTTATTGTGTTGTCTCAGTGTACTCGTGGCACCCCTGCTTTTCATCGAAGGAATGTTATTTCTCCTGCTGAGTCTTTTGCTTTCGTAGGGAGTGATTTTCGTGTGCAAGTTTGGTACTAATCCCTATAGGATTTTCCAAGTGTATTATCATGTATCTCTCTCGCCTGCACTCCAGGGAATACAAATCAGTGGCCTTCAACCATTCCCAGTAATTTAGGTGCCTTATCATACTTATGTGTGCTTTGAAAGTACACTCTCCAGGTGAGCAATTTTCCCTGCCTTGAAGGGGGCAGTTAGTGTACATCAGTATTCCAGCCTAGAGAGAACAAGTGATTTGAAGAGAATCATCATGGCCTTGGTGTCCCTAGTTTTGAAGGTTCTCATTATCCATCCTATCATTTTCCTAGCAGATGTGGTAGATGCATTGTTGTGGTCTTTGAAGGCGAGATCCTCTGACATTATCACTCCTAGGTCCTTCACATTACATATCTAAGTATGTAGTTGAAATTCCTCTTCATTGAACTTTATATTGTTTTGAGTGGCCCATTGGAAGATTTGGTTTATGTCCCTTTCGAGTGTTGCAGTATCTTTGATAGAGGTCACTGTCATGGCAATCCAGGCATCATCCACAAAGGAAGACACAGAGCTATGGCTTACATCTCAGTCTATGTCAGATATGAGGATGAAGAATGGAATGGGAGCAAGTACTCTGCCTTGTAGAACAGAGCTTTTCACTGTAGCTGCCTCAGACTTTACTCTGTTTACCATTACTCTTTGTGTTTTATTTGTCAGGAAGTTATAGATACATCTACCAACTTTTCCTGTTATTCCTTAATCACACATTTTGTGCGCTATTACACCATGGTCGCACTTGTCAATAGCTTTTGCAAAGTCTGTGTATATTACATCTGCATTTTGTTTATCCTCCACAGCATCCAGGACCTTGTCATAGTGATCCAGTAGCTGGTACAGGCAAGAGCAACCTGCTCTAAGCCTGTGTTACCCTGGATTGTATAACTGATGGGTATCTAGGTGGTTGACAATCTTGCTTCTGAGAACTCTTTCAAATATTTTTTATGATATCAAATGTTAGTGCTATTGGTCTGTAGTTCTTCGCAATTGCTTTACTGCCACCTTTGTAGAATGGGGCTATGTCTGTTGTTTTTAGTGAGTGTGGGATGATCCCTGTTTGCATGCTGCCTCTCCTTAGAATGCTGAAGGCACTCATCAGGGGCTTCTTGCAATTCTTGATGAACATGGAGTTCCATGAGTCTGCACCAGGGACAGAGTGCATGGGCATGTCATTTATTGTCTTTTCAAAGTCTTGTGGTGTTAATGTAATAACCGAGATTTTTGAGATTACCAAATTTTGGGTCTCGTTCACAAAGAATTCATTCGGATTGTCGACCCTTAGTCTGGGCAGCATTTGTTGACCACTGAGTCATATTGGGACTTTAGTATCTCACTCATTTCTTGGCTATCATCTGTGTATGCCCCATCTCACCTAAGCAGGGGCCCAGTATTGGATGTTGTGTTTCCCTTAGGTTTGGCATAAGAGAAGAAGTATTTTGTTTTTGTTTTTTCAATTTCCTTTATGGCTATTAGTTCTTCCTGTGATTCTTGTCTCCTGTAAGACTCCTTCAGCTTAAGTTCGATATTTGCAATTTCATTAACCAGTGCCTCCCTTCATATTTCAGATATATTGGCCCCACTCAGCAGCCTTCATCTGTATAGAGAGCATTTCTCTCTATCTAGTTTTCATCTTCTCTTTCTTTTTCTTAATGGAATGTATCTTGAGCAGATCTCAAGAACCACAGAGTTCATTTTTTCAAGGCAAATGTTTGGATCCATGTTGTTTAGGACATCTTCCCAGCTTGTTTCATTGAGGTCATGGTTGACTTGTTCCCATTGTATGTTTTTGTTTTCGAAATTGAATTTTGTGGCAGGTTTTCATCCCAGGTATGGTGCTAATGTTAAAATTGTGAAAATGACGTATCTTGCTTATATTAGATCATTGGTTGACTATGCTGCACCACTACTTGCACTCGTGTCTGACTGGAAGCTTGGAGGGCTGGAAAAACTGCAGAACAATGCAATGAAGATCATTTTAGGATGCCCGCATATTGCCAAAATTTTAAATATGCGGAAAGAACTTGGTATTTCTAGCATCAGAGATTGTGTTACTGAGAGAAATATCCTCATTGGAGTCAATATGTTCGGGAAATCCCACTCAAACCCCTGCACATAAACCATACAAACTTTCCTCTGCACTGGTGAGCACCCCTCTGTATGGATCGTAAAAACTGGAACCGACCTCTGCGTGAACAAGATACATGATCTATGTCAAGTAAGGTAACAGCGGCACTTCTCCGCTCCATGGAATGTTGCCTCATTCCAAACTACCATCTCTCCATTTCTCCCAAAAATTCTTCTTAAATCACAACCAAAGCTTCGCCTTGAATTGTGTTGATAACTTAGTCACAGAGCACACTCTCTCACAAATTATTTATGTTGATCGTTGTGTTCACCAGTCCACTGGTGCAGCTGGTAGTGCTGCTGTTGTCATACAGAATGATGGCTCCCATAAAGAAATTGGAGCACGCATCAATAACTGGGCCTCTACCCTTCAAACAGAACTGTTTGCTATACTCCTTGCACTCAAATGCATCCCTGTATCTAAGGTTCACAGTTTATTTGTAACTGGTTCTCTATCATCCATAAGTGTTCTCAACTCATTAAGTATAAATTTTGGCATGTTTGTGTCAGAAACCAGACACAGGTATGGTGAGATTGTGGACAGTGGAGTCAGAGTGCACATGCTGTGGATTCCATCTCACATTGGTCTTCTGATGCATGATAGAACTGATAAATTGGCTAAGCTGTATGCTTTCAAAGAGGGGGTAGATTACAATCTTGGCTTGTCAGTTAGCAGTTTGAGAACAATAATATGAAAAGAATTTCAACTGAATTTTATTGACTACTGACTCAGGGAGACTGACACCAGTCAGTCCATCTGTCATCATTCTGTCATGCAGGAGGAGCCACATGTCTATGGTGCATCCAACAAAATAAGCAGACTCTTGGATGTCACTACTGCCCGGCTCTGGCTGGGTTACAAATATCTTTAGGATTAAGAATTTCATTTCTTTGCATTTCTTTGCAAGTGGTCAAAAATTTACAATTTGGCCAATTTCACACAAATTTCAAAAGCTGCCAATTTCAAAATAAGGTTCAGAAATAACAACGCAGACTTTCCTGGCACTAAAATAACATATTCTCTGTTCATTAGTCATTGCTCCAGGCCCCTCTTATATTACTCTTGCTTACCGTTTTGAAATTTAAAAAAAAAAAATAGAAGATTTACTGTTATGCATTGTGTCATTGATGTCAGCCAGACCTGTTTACCATGTACATGTACCTGGAGTTTACCTGGAGAGAGTTCCGGGGGTCAATGCCCCCGCGGCCCGGTCTGTGACCAGGCCTCCTTGTGGATCAGAGCCTGATCAACCAGGCTGTTGCTGCTGGCTGCACGCAAACCAACGTACGAGCCACAGCCCGGCTGATCCGGAACTGACTTTAGGTGCTTGTCCAGTGCCAGCTTGAAGACTGCCAGGGGTCTGTTGGTAATCCCCCTTATGTGTGCTGGGAGGCAGTTGAACAGTCTCGGGCCCCTGACACTTATTGTATGGTCTCTTAACGTGCTAGTGACACCCCTGCTTTTCATTGGGGGGATGGTGCATCGTCTGCCAAGTCTTTTGCTTTCGTAGTGAGTGATTTTCGTGTGCAAGTTCGGTACTAGTCCCTCTAGGATTTTCCAGGTGTATATAATCATGTATCTCTCCCTCCTGCGTTCCAGGGAATACAGGTTTAGGAA